ACAGCCATTCATTCCCCACTGCTCCCTTCCTAAAATAGCCCTCATTTTATTAGGGGAGGCAAGGTGTCCTGCCCAGGCACTGCCAGCTCCATTCTCCTTTGCCTGGCTCCCCAGGCTCCCGTTTGAACCAGTACCTCCCAATGAGATGTAAGAAGAAATTGGTGAGGGACTTTTGGAAAAGATTTTCTTTCCAAGTAAGACAGAGTCTTCAAAGGAGAAAGCTTTTGCTCCCTACTTCCAAATGGGACTGAAATGCCTAGAGCAGCAACAAGCCACACTGTAATCACTGAGGACACTAAAGACAAAAGCTAATGAGATAAGGGTCTCAGAGGGGAAAAACAAAGGACCTGGGACCCTGAGAATATTGTTGAGTTGCTACATAAGCACTGGATTATCTAGCATCTTATGTAGAATTTTAAATTTATCCCATGGCCTCTGAGATGTTCCAACAGGTTTTTTGTTTTTTTTTTCTAAATTTCCTGTGAACAAGTGAAGGTCAGAATGTGGCTAACACCCAGCAATACCTCTTGGTTTTAAGATGCTTCCCTTAGACAGCTCATACTATTATGGAATCAAGCTGGATAACTTCTTTTATAACCTATCTCATACCCAGGCACTTTTCCATTTCCTGGTAGGACATTCTAAGTTCAGTCACCACAAAGGCAGGACAGTCTTTGTTTATGCAGATCCAAGTAAGTATAGACAGTGGCATTTCTGCATGTTTTTGTGTAACCTACGTAGGTGTTACCCAATAGAATGTGGTTTCTCTGGAGATGACCAGTTATCTATAATATCAAAGCCACACTGAGGCCAAATAGAGCCAATTATGAATAAATGATTATATATGGATAAATTATATATAAAATCACAAGAGGTACAATTTAGAACAATGTAGTTTCTTATTAAAATGTCTAGTCCTTTTACTGAAATCATCTAGAAGCCAGCTATAATGAAGATGCTTTCCCACAGAAGTTATCACTAGAAATATCATCATGGTATACACAATATGGGGTATATTCTCTAGGACTACCTTGTCCTATGTCAATAATTAGGCTGTGGAGACTTTTAGGAGTGGTAAGCTACTTCTAAGACATAAGGAACATGAAATACTCAGGTTCTAGATGAAGAGTCTGGCTGGAATAGTGATTAAATTCATGCTGAACAGAATAGGTGTAGACCATGGGAGCAGACCCAACAATTTAAGCAGTTCCCCAAAGTAGTGACAGCCTGGATCAGATTTTAAAAAGTGTCATTTTTTTCCATCTTCCTTGGGTTACTAGCACAAAACCCTCTAGGGTATCCATGATTGTGACTCTTTAAGAAGTTATTTGCTTTGGCCAAGTTTTTTGTTTAAGGTTGTGTCTGTTCTGGCCAAGATTAACTGTAATGCTGGGTTAAAACCAGCTATTCTAGAGGCATGTATCTTTTTTCAAACCAGTGGAGGACCCAGAAGAAATGGGTGGCAAGCTTTTCCAAAGGTCCACCTGGTAAGATTTTGGGGAGCCCATTCAAGTGGGAAAGAGCAAGGAAAGACAAGGCTTCTATTATCAGGATTATCAGGATTATCAGGATAACACTTGGGGCAATAATCAGCTCTGTTAATAAGGTCTAAGAATACTTGGTAACATTCATTTTCAATAAGTTCAGTTTGGTACAACCAGTGGCCTAGTTCTAAACTAGGAAACCACTGTTGTCCACAGTCAGGGCAATGTGAATTATCTGAGAACATCTGGGCCTCCAAAGATAACACAGAAAGCAATGTAACAGTAAGAGGCAACAATGACAAAGAGAGATACCCAAATAACCAGTCCTATCACAGGTTTGATTTAGCAATTTCTCAGTCCAAGCAATACTACTTAGAAAGAGAGTTAAATCTGGCTTGCACTTACATGCAATTCTCCAAGATTCCGTTGTCTATTTTTCACTCAATTACAACTCTGTCTCTCAACTCAGTGAACAATCCAAACTAAAATGTTATTAGCCACTTGCTAGGAGCACAGATCTCAGAATAGCTCCTTCAAATTCCAACTTCTCAGGAAAAGCTAGAAGTCTGGTCTAAATTAGTTATTTGTATGTGTGTGTGTGTGTGTGTGTGTGTGTGTGTGTGTGTTAATCAGCTGATGATCTCATGCAGAAGCACTTGGCTTACTCTGCTTTGCTGGTTAGCTATTGTGTCTGCTTGGTCAAAGAGAGGAGCTGACAGATCCAATGGGTCTTTGTGGGCGCTGGCATTCTTGCCATTGTGATACACGTACCCAAGTCTTAAAGTCTTGGCACTTTACAGCGATGTAGGGAGGTCAGGAATACCTGGGAAAGTCCTCTTGAGCATGGATCCAATGAAGTCTTTCTTGGGGAGGACCTTAATCAGGACCCCATCAGAGAAGTAACTGATGCTGAGTTAGTTGGAGGGTCTGGGAATGCTTCACATAGAAATTCTGGCAGAGTTTTGAATCGTCTGCAGTCAATGTCAGGGGAGCCCTTCTGGTGTTCTTGACCTAAGAATGTTTTCACCCTGGGTGTGCTTTGAACAAAAACATTCTATATAATAAAAGCCTAATATGCTAAGTGTCCTGTCATCTGGTTAGCTATTCAACCAATCAAAGCGTAATATGCTAATAATATGCTAAGGCCACTCAACCGCTCGCTATGATGTGCACTGACCACCAGGGGGCAGACAGTCAACCTGTTGACCAGTCGCTATGACATGTATTGACCAACAGGGGGCAGATGCTCCGACTGATAGGTTAGCTTGCTGTTGGGGTTTGGCTGATTGGGACTGAGCAAGATGGGCTGGACATGCCCTGGAGGCCTCCAGTGGTCCCTCCCCAGCTGGCCAACCTCCCGTGTCCCTCCCTGGCTCCGATTGTGCACTGGTGGGGTCCCTCAGCCTGGCCTGTGCCCTCTTGCAATCTGGGACCCCTTGGGAGATGTTGAAGAGCCGGTTTCGGTCAATGGCGGAACAACTGGGTGCTATCATGCTCACTGTCCACCAGGGGGCAGATGCTCAATGCAGGAGCTGCCCCCTGGTGGTCAGTGGACTCCCACAGGAGGAGCACTGCTCAGCCAGAAGCCATGCTCACGGCTGGGAGCCTCTCCACCTCTGTGGCAGCGCTAAGAATGTCCAACTGCCGGCTTAGCCCACGGGGAGCAGGCCTAAGCCAGCAGTTGGACATCCCCCGAGGGCTCCCAGACAGTGAGAGGGCACAGGCTGGGCTGAGGGACCACCTCCCGCCCAGTGCAGGAATTTTATGCACCAGGCCTCTAGTTTTAATATAAACAGTATAAACCCAAATAAGTGTCACCTAGGATTTTTTTTCCAGAAAGATTCCTTTAGTCCATTTTATTCCAGATTAATTTTATATGTTCTAGTTAAAAATTACTATTTATTTTTATTTTGTTGAAATTAGTTTCATTAGTGCAAATATTTCTCAGTTAAATTATTAACAAAAATTTGATTCAATAAATTTTTAGATTAAAATCAATGGTTTTTATTTATCAATTCTGATATTTTTGTGCCATTATTTATTTCCACTAATTCTAATATTGGGTCACAATAGTAGGTGTGAGAATTTTTCTGAGACAAAGAAAAAGAGAGATAAATATGGGAAGAAAAGAGAGAGAGAGTAAGAGAAAGAGTGGTGAAAAGAAGAGAGATAGAAAATGATGAGGACATAAGAATAAAAAGGAGCCAGTTAGAGAGATCTCAGTATAGAGAAGTGTATGGTGTCACCACACACCAGAAAGTCAAAAAAATCAGATTGTCAATATCATAATTGGTGGCTTGATTCAGGTTCCTCTCGTGACTAAATTGAGGTCTCCCTTAAGAAGGAACATTTGACATGTTCTTTCTCCTGCTGGAGAAAACCTGTAGTCCCATTATCCAGTACGGGCCAATACCCAGTTGTCTCTGCTAGTTTTTGGACCTGGCATTTATGCATCACCCAAGTTCATCATGTGTTTGAATGGAGCTGTACTTTTACTGCTGTTTGTCTCCATTTTAGCTATTATTGTTTTAAATTTGGGTGGAAGAAAGATGGAGCCCTGAGAGTGATCTTTCATAAGACAAGTTAGAGTCACATGAGTGAATGAGCACAGATACACTGTGTGCCAGGGACTTCAGCATCATAATTTTAGTCAACTGATGTACTTAATTTTATTCTTGGAGATTGGAAATGTTTAATACTCTTCAACCACCTTTGTGTGTATCTTGGATTTTGTTTCTTTTATCACCCCATTTATCCTTTTCATTCAATATTTTGAATTAAATGGATATTTTTCTATAAGCCTTGAGTATCAATAAGGGATATATAGTCAATAAATAGTTCTCTTAAGTCTAACTGCTTCAATCTATATTTCAGTAAGATTGGAATCCCTACAAAATATCAGGCCTTTAGTTGTTTACAAAAATTTGAGATGCTTAGAAAATATTTGGCACTTTAAATCATTTGCAAATCCACTTTTTATTTGCTTGGGAATACCATTCATTTTCAAATAAAGGGATGACTTCTGTTGGTTTTCATTTTTACATTATCTATGGACCCTCGTCAAAATGCTAGTGTCGCCCACCAGCCTTGGAATTGAGAATTCTACCCTTAGAGAGCTATTCCTATAATTAGAGTGATGGAGTCTGGAATTGCTCCCATGCCTTTGGCTCATAACCTGAGGGTGTCTTTAAGGGTTATATTGTAATCAGTTATCTCAAACAGAAGCCCTATAGCCTATCTAAATCATGGAAAGATGAATGAGCTCACCATTGAGAGAACAGTGAAGTGGCTGCAGGTTGATATTCTGGCCAAGATATATAATATGTGACTCCCAGGACATCAGGGAAAGAAATAGACTGGGATCCAAAATCATGGCAAACATTGGTATGGTTTTGTTGTAAACAGGATATATTTCTGAAATTGAAGTTCTTTTCTCTGGTTATCACAGGTGAGTAGAGGGATCTGGAAGTTGGAATCAAACAACCAGGCTTTCATTTTGGTAGTAATTTTTATTCATCTAATCCAACAAATGTCTGTTGCGTACCCACTATAAATTTGGCACAGTGTAAAGCACTAGAAATACAATTAAGATAATGACCCTGCTTTCATAGAGCTTAATAGAATAATGATAAAAATAATGATTGAGTTATAATTGTGAAGAGCCCCACACAGAAGAAAAGCTCGCTGAAAGTCCCTATCATGAGAATGTCTAAACTGGGTTAGGAATAGAGGCTGGCAGAGGTTTAGAAAGTTTCCATGAGGAAATAAAATGTAAACTGACACTTTATAGAGTTAGTTAAAGACAAGACAGGTAAGGACAAGATGCAAAGAAGTGCTGAGAGTACCCCATGTGGCGTTGTTCTGGCAGACATGGTCGACACACTCAGAACATGCAGGGGCTGTGGGCCATGCAAGCTGCTTATCTCTCTGGGTATAAATGACCTCTTTCATGAGATACCATAACAGTAATACCTTTCTAGAACTGACATAAAAGAAAAAAAGAATGAAGTCATTTTTTTGGCCCTAAATTTATTGCTTTTTTTCTTATACATTGAGTTACAAAATAAATTATTTATTTCTAACACATCTTACTCCATATTACATACTAACTGTTGAAGTTAGAATATGAACTTAGATATGCCCAATTTAGTAAAACCTATGTGCTTTATACCATCCATAGTGATACTCAATAAATGAATGAACTAAATAATATAAGTGAATGACTGAATGAATTTACTAAATTATATATGTAACATCATGAATTAGGCAGTGTTTAAGCAAAAATAACTGTTTTCAGAACAGTTTTATTATTCAGAATTTTAAAAAAGATAATCCAATTCTTGTTATACAAGATAAAAAATAGTTTTATTGTTAAGACCTGGAAAAGGTGGGAAGCTTGGAAATGACGAATTCCAGAGTTTGGCAGCCTTCATTGTAGCCTACATGGCAATAGAGAACACATTCAGCCATTAATTCATCTCAGCGGTGCTTGCTCTAGATTCAAAGACCCCAGTGGAAATGTCTGAGTGTGGCAGCAAGGGTCAAATTCCTCTGCCAGAGAGTGAGAGACAAAAACAAAACAAAGAAAGACCCTCTTCTTTGTTGAGGAGGTTAAGACACTATGTCTCACCAATATAAGCAATGGAGAGTTTATATAATGTAGGAAGATTGGATGCTTGACAACAACAAAATAATAATATATTCCACTATAGCATTTTTTCTGAACACTGGTAAAAGTAGGAAGTAGAGTATAAAATAAATTTAAGTCAACTAATCCTTTAAATGTGCTTTAGAAAAGTATTCTGCATTATGAGAAGGGAAAAGATTGATTCTAAACAATCAGCCAAAAGCAAGAGAGAAGAGAAATCAATGTCAATAGGTTTGTGATCTGAAAGCTCTATCAAAAATGCAAAGACTTAAATATGCAAATTCATTTTACTTGAAATATGGTAGTTTTAGTATTCACCCACTGATTTATTACATGACAGTACAGACATGTAGCGATAAAAAAATAATGAATACTAAAGCCTTAATGTATGTATATATACTTCTTGAGAATCACAGCAGTATTTTAAGAACAGTAAAGATCACTAAAAAGCACTCAGATTAAATTTTTTATGTTGTGGGAATGAATAATAAAATTGTCCATCACATTTTCAGCAAAACAAAACAACACACAGATAGATAAAATAAATTTTATTTTATTGATTGACTGATTTTTTAGGGAGAGAGAGAGGCAGAGAAAGTGAGAGAGAGGGAGAGAAACATTGATTGATTGTCTTCCACACATGTCCTGACCGGGGACCAAACCTGAGACCCCTCCGACCAACTGAGCCACACCAGCCAGGGATAGTTATTTCTTTTTTACAAAAGATTATGCTTTGTTTATGTTATGTGTTTGGGCAGAATAACAGATCTAAAACATGGGAA